ATAAATTATATTCGATTTAAATTAACTACATTCGCCACAAAATCAGTAATCTAGCAGATATGAAAAGATACTATTGGTTCCATTGGCTTCCTATTGTACATCATTTAAATAAATTTAAAATTTTATCAAAATAAGTTATTTTGTAACAGATATTTCAGAAAAAAATTAGATTCACATTTCTAACAATACAAAATAATACAAAAACCAAAAAATAAATTTTACGAAACAAAAACATGGAATCCAAAACAAAAAATGTAACAAAGAAATCACAAATGACAAAGTGGATCGGAAGTTACGATAGTAAAAAAAACATGGAATCCAAAAGAAGACGAGTATAATATCGATACGTAAATGATCTCTCAACTTCACTCCTATATTTTTTTTTTATTACGACCTTGAATATTAATCAAAGCTTTTCATTTTTTTGGGTTTTCTTCCAAAAAAAATATGTAATTTTCCTTCTACAACCTCTGTATATTCTTTGAAGCTCCACTTACGTAAAGGTTTGTAGGAGATCAAAAGAAAAAACATGGATAAAAACAAACTTTTTAATACATCGAATAAAAACTAGGGAGTTATATATTAGTGACTAAAAGAATTACCAGATTTCCATGTGTTTCTTGATATTATCACATCAACATTTTATCAGTGAATTTAAACATCATTGTTTTTTGTGTGTTTAGAATGAAGTCAGACTCTTAAAAAAAAAAATTATAGCAAATAAGCAAAACAATATTTGGAACATGAACTCTTCTTAGTCCTCTCACCATAAGTTTTCTCTACATAGTGAATTTATGATTATATTAATCCTTTTTTAAAAAAAAATATTAATAAATAAAATAATATTATTTCTGGTGCGTAGCACCGGCAAAACACTAGTACTTTAACTGATACACTAACATGAATACAAAATACTTCCATCATTTCTATCTGAATTACAAGTTATCGTTGTTTCTACCAATATTAAGATTACTATTACAACTTTTGCCGGAAGTTTTTTATTTGCATATAGTAATAAAAATCTTTTTAGTGATGTAGAGTTAGAGATTGTCTCTCTAGAGCTTACAAATTACAAAAACCAAAAGTATAATGAAAAAAAAAGCATCACCTAAACAATAGCTAGAACTAAGAATAAATAGGTAAATGGTTTTTAATAAAAAAATCTCCTCAACTATCTTCGGATCATGAAAACTCTTCTCAATTATTTTTTTTAGTAAAAATACTCTTCAACTATACTTCGTTAATGAAATCAATCCTCCGTCTACATTAACGTTTAATACTAATGATAAAGCGTCTCAAATATTGACCAAAACGTCAAGTTATTTACAGAAAACAATACAAAGTGAATCTTATGACAAAAAAACGTGATCGTAGATGATTGTAAATCA